TCTATCTCTTTGCCGGACATGAGAGAGTCCTCTACCTACCTCTTGTGAAAGAGCTCCCCCACCTCGTAACGTACAAAGACAGAACTCGTCTATCTTTCAATGGGACATGATCCGTCTCTTTGGTTTTGGTTGAGAAAAGCTTCTCTATCCATGAAGCAAACATGAGAGAAGCCGATTGTCTCTAGGCTGCTTATCGCTTCGTAGGAAATGACATAGCTCTTTTACCTTTTTGCGAGAGATCAACCCTAATTGAAGGTTTCGAAGGCCTATCCCTGAAATGGAGCGTCGCATAACTCATCAGTCTCTCTCGCTTACGTGAGACAGCATTTATTCTATTTCGTAACAGGTCATCTAAACGCTCTTCTATGCGTTTGTAGAAGTAAAAGAGCTCCTTGCCTCTTGTGCAAAAGCTCCTCCGCATCCTAAAGAGCAATGAGCAAGCTCTTCTATCTCCTCTCTCTTGAATAGGTCATGAGAGGGCTCCCCTCCCTCTGGTTGAGGGAATGACAGAGCTCCTCCGCCCCTTACGAAAGAGCCTTTCTCCTGCTTGAAAAGCTGCGGGCGGGTGCTCTGGCGCCTCGTAGGTTTGGGAGGGCTCCTTTTCACATCTTTATCTTTCCGACTCCGAGATATAGGAGCTCATTTTTTCGAAAGTGGTAGCAGAGATCTCTCATTTCCAAGAGATCTTTGTCACTCAGGGAGAAAGCAAGGTTTTGATTTCAAAGAAATGGAGGAGCTCTTTCATGTCCCATTAAGAGTGTGGAGCGCTCTCATTACGCATGAAAAGATTGATGACATGGATTCGTTACCATTCTTTAACTTTTCTCGAAGGGTCTTTTCTTTTCATATGCAGGATCTCTTTCATTTCCTATGAGAAGATAGAGGAGCTCTTTCATCTCAAAGATAGAAGAATGCATTCATAAACGGTATAAGAGCTCTCCCATGAACTATATCTCATCGTAGGGGGCATAGGAGTCTTAGGGGGCTCAGGATTCGCGTGCAGGGTGTAGGGTTTATAGGGCTACGGGAATTTAATGGAGGGTGTATTTGTGTAGTCTGCCTATTACCGTAACAAACCCGTGACATAACCCAGAGCCATTACTTGCAAGACTGCTTCTTGAAAGCAAGAGCGCTAGTGTCTAACCATTGTACATTCCTACATGAGATACCCCACCACATCTTGAAAACACCTCTTTCTCCAAGGGTTTACTGGGGCATTAAGGAACAAGAACGTGATGGTTTCAGCACCAAAGTAAGGGAATAGCAAAGGGTTTCCAGGGAAAACTTCCCTGATGCAACCGGTCTCTATCTCACAAGAGGTCATGAGAGACCTCCTGTATCACATTGCAGGAATGAGAGAGTTCTCCACCATGTTTGTTTTCCGAAATAGCTTCTCTATCAATGAAGAGTTTTGAAGGTCGCCCTGGGCCATTCTCTGTCCGATAAATGAGACATGACATAACTCATTAGTCTCTATTAAGAGAGTCTCTATCACAACTATATGAAAAATCCTTCCTACATCTTGAAGGCGTCCCTTTCTTTAAGGGATGAATGGGGAAATTAAGGGAAAGAAAGGGTGATGGTTTCAGCACGAAAGTAAGGGAATAGAAAAGGGAACGCGATAAAGATGCACGAAGGCTTAAAGAGGCCCAGAAAATCAAGAAATTAAAGAGGATGGTTAATTGCTTGAATTTCTCTAATTTCTCACAGAGAGGCTTAGCAATTAAAAAGCCAGAGAAATTAATTAATTTCATTACTTTCTTTAATTTCTTTTAGTTAGTCTCGCAACCCCACGTGGCTACCGGATGTTTTTTGTTAATTTCTTTAATTTCTCACAGAGAGGCCTAGAAAATAAAGAAATTACAAAAATTAATTACCCGGCTCACGGGATTAGTTTAAATAAAAGAAATTAATGAAATTGATCAAATTAAAGAAATTGATTAATGTATTTAGTTTCTTTGATTTCTCACAGATAGGCTCTGAAAGTAGAGAAACTACAGAAATTAATTTCATTAAATTCTCACAGAGAGGCCCAGAAATTAAAGAAATTAATGAAATTCATTAATTTCTTTAATTTCTTTAATTTCTCACATAGAGGCCCAGAAATTCGAGAAATTAAAGAAATTAATTAATTTCATTAATTTCTTTAATTTCTTTAATTTCTTTAATTTCTTTAATTTCTTTTAACTAGTCTCGCAAGCCCGAAGGGCTACCGAATTTATTTCTTTAATTTCTTTAATTTCGCACAGAGAGGCCCATAAACTAAAGAAATTAAAGACATTAAAGAAATTAATTGGGGGAGCCCCCCCGGCTCACGGGACTAATTTAAATAAATTAAAGAAATTAATGAAATTAATGAAATTAAAGAAATTAATTAATTTCTTTCATTTCTTTAATTTCGCACAGAGAGGCCCAGAAATTAATGAAATTAATGAAATTGATTAATTTCTTTAATTTCTTTAATTTCTCACAGAGAGGCCCAGAAATTCAAGAAATTCAAGAAATTAATTAATTTCATTAATTTCTTTAATTTCTTTAATTTCATTAATTTCTTTTAATTAGTCTCGCAAGCCCGAAGGGCTACCGGAATTAATTTCTTTAATTTCTTTAATTTCTCACAGAGAGGCCCAGAAATTAAAGAAATTAAAGAAATTAATTGGGGGCCCCCCCCCGGCTCACGGGACTAATTAAAATAAATTAAAGAAATTAAAGAAATTAATGAAATTAATGAAATTAAAGAAATTAATTAATTTCTTTAATTTCTTTAATTTCGCACAGAGAGGCCCAGAAATTAAAGAAATTAATGAAATTAATTAATTTCTTTAATTTCTTTAATTTCTCACAGAGAGGCCCGAAATTAAAGAAATTAATGAAATTAATTAATTTCTTTAATTTCTTTAATTTCTCACAGGGAGGCCCAGAAATTAAAGAAATTAAAGAAATTAATTAATTTCATTAATTTCTTTAATTTCTTTAATTTCTTTAATTTCTTTTAATTAGTCTCGCAAGCCCGAAGGGCTACCTGAATTAATTTCTTTAATTTCTTTAATTTCTCACAGAGAGGCCCAGAAATTAAAGAAATTAAAGAAATTAATTGGGGTAGCCCCCCCGGCTCACGGGACTAATTAAAATAAATTAAAGAAATTAATGAAATGAAATTAAAGAAATTAATTAATTTCTTTAATTTCTTTAATTTCGCACAGAGAGGCCCAGAAATTAAAGAAATTAATGAAATTAATTAATTTCTTTAATTTCTTTAATTTCTCACAGGGAGGCCCAGAAATTAAAGAAATTAATGAAATTAATTAATTTCTTTAATTTCTTTAATTTCTCACAGAGAGGCCCAGAAATTAAAGAAATTAAAGAAATTAATTAATTTCATTAATTTCTTTAATTTCTTTAGTTTCATTAATTTCTTTTAATTAGTCTCGCAAGCCCGAAGGGCTACCTGAATTAATTTCTTTAATTTCTTTAATTTCTCACAGAGAGGCCCAGAAATTAAAGAAATTAAAGAAATTAATTGGGGTAGCCCCCCCGGCTCACGGGACTAATTAAAATAAATTAAAGAAATTAATGAAATTAAAGAAATTAATTAATTTCTTTATTTCTTTAATTTCTTTAATTTCGCACAGAGAGGCCCAGAAATTAAAGAAATTAATGAAATTAATTAATTTCTTTAATTTCTTTAATTTCTCACAGGGAGGCCCAGAAATTAAAGAAATTAATGAAATTAATTAATTTCTTTAATTTCTTTATTTTCTCACAGAGAGGCCCAGAAATTAAAGAAATTAAAGAAATTAATTAATTTCATTAATTTCTTTAATTTCTTTAATTTCTTTAATTTCTTTTAACTAGTCTCGCAAGCCCGAAGGGCTACCGAATTTATTTCTTTAATTTCTTTAATTTCGCACAGAGAGGCCCATAAACTAAAGAAATTAAAGACATTAAAGAAATTAATTGGGGGAGCCCCCCCGGCTCACGGGACTAATTTAAATAAAATAAAGAAATTCATGAAATTAATGAAATTAAAGAAATTAATTAATTTCTTTAATTTCTTTAATTTCGCACAGAGAGGCCCAGAAATTAAAGAAATTAATGAAATTAATTAATTTCTTTAATTTCTTTAATTTCTCACAGAGAGGCCCAGAAATTAAAGAAATTAAAGAAATTAATTAATTTCATTAATTTCATGAAATTTCTTTAATTTCTTTAATTTCATTAATTTCTTTTAATTAGTCTCGCAAGCCCGAAGGGCTACCGGAATTAATTTCTTTAATTTCTTTAATTTCTCACAGAGAGGCCCAGAAATTAAAGAAATTAAAGAAATTAATTGGGGGAGCCCCCCCGGCTCACGGGACTAATTAAAATAAATTAAAGAAATTAATGAAATTAAAGAAATTAATTAATTTCATTAATTTCTTTAATTTCGCACAGAGAGGCCCAGAAATTAAAGAAATTAATGAAATTAATTAATTTCTTTAATTTCATTTATTTCCCTAAGAGAGCCCCAGAAATTAAAGAAATTAAAGAAATTAATAGGTAAATAAATTAAATTCCTCATACAAGTGATATACGTGAAATGGACCCAAAAGGTCCCTCTCACATATATATATATATATATACATATATATGGCCTTGGTAGCCCAGCAACCCTAGCATAGAAAGCGTGCAATCATTTGGCTTGTTTCTAAAGGCACACAGATCCCAAAAGGGGTAAACGGGTACCACTGCAGCTCTTAGAAACCCCACCCCTAAACCCTAAACCCTAAACCCCAAACCCTAAACCCCAAAGCCTACGCCAAAAGCCCCAAACTCCACCTTAACAGCCCGAATGCTACTCTAAAACCCCTTCTTGGCTTCGTAGGTAACCCTAAACCCTAAACCCTAAACCCTAAACCCTAAACCCTAAACCCTAAACCCTAAACCCCAAAGCCTAAACCCTATTTTTTGTAGGTCTTGGGTTCTGAAGGTCGACCCGAGTCCAAGCGCGGCAGGCGCACGTCGTCTCCATTCTCTGCGGAGGGGCTCTCAGCCGGCGCCGGCTGTAGTAGCGCCTTCGCAAGAGCAGGGTTTCGGGTTTAGGGTTTAGGGTTTAGGGTTTAGGGTTTAGGATAACCTAACGTCTCTTTAGGGTTTAGGGTTTAAAATGTTTGGATTTAGGGTATACACACAGAAAGCCTTTAAATCTCTACTGCCGGTTCAGGTTTTATGTGGGTGGTCAGATTCCTAAGCCCTAGACCCTAAACCCTAAACCCTAAACACTAAACCCTGTACACAAAGATGAAAACCCTTGAGCTGCGCTTCCAAAAGGGATCAGACCGAGCATCCACCATGAAGCCCAGTACTCTGAAAGCTGAAGGCTCCTGTTTTTTGGGATGTTATGGGGGATTAGGGTTTAGGGTTCGGGTTTAGGGTTTAGGGTTTAGGGTTTAGGGTTTAGGGTTTAGGGTTTAGGGTTTAGGGTTTAGGGTTTAGGGTTTAGGGTTTAGGGTTTAGGGTTTAGGGTTTAGGGTTTAGGGTTTAGGGTTTAGGGTTTAGGGTTTAGGGTTTAGGGTTTAGGGTTTAGGGTTTAGGGTTTAGATAGGGTTTAGGGCTTAGGGTTACGTAGGAGCCTTTAGGGAGGAAGACCTGTTTTGCCATTAAAAGGCCACCGTTGAAGCCCCATGAGCCCACAACCTCTCGAAACCCTAAACCCTAAACCCGTTTCGACCTTGAAAATCTCGTCTGCCCTGACCCCTTCAAGCCCTCTCAGCCCCAAGTGAACTCGAGACTGCCCCTGAACCCGAAACCCTAAATTCTAGACCCTAAACTCTAAAATCTCTAAACCTTAAACCCTAAATTCTAGACCCTAAACCCTAAAATCTCTAAACCTTAAAACCCCAAACCCTTATAGCCCTGACAATGCAGCTCCCCACCTCGATAGATTGGTGGACGAACTCAGCTTCTACCTGTGCAGGTGAGCATCTACATGGTCAGTTCTCTTAATCATGGTCCCTTTTTGGGTAGCCAAGATGAAAAAGGGGCCGCCTTAGAATAAGGTCCCCAAAAGGGACAATCTTTTGGAGAAGTGACCACATTAAGGCTGAGCTCAGGGCGGTTTAGGGCTTAAAGTGTAGTCTAGGTTATCAAGGCTTGGGGGGGCTGAGAGTTTAGGGCTTAGTGCGATTTAGGGTTTAAGGCTGAGTCTAGGTTAATAAGGCTTAGGGCGAATTAGGGCTGAATGCTTCAGGTTTTTGTATCGGATTCCTTACAGTAGAGTTTAGAGTGCAGATTACGGACTTTGGGGCTTTGGGGCTCGTGGCGCGGGGGGGAGGAGGACAAAGGATGCTGGGGGGAGGGGAAGGTGATTGCAGGGTTTAGGGCCGTTTAAAGCATGTTTTGTACTTTCTTGTTTCTTGCTTGGAGTGTGAGTGAGTGAGTGAGTGAGTGAGTGTGTGTGTGTGTGTGTGCGTGTGTGTGCGTGTGTGTGTGTGTGTGTGCGTGTGTGCGTGTGTGTGCGTGTGTCAGAGTGTGTGTGTGTGTGTGTGAGTGTGTGTGTGTGTGTGTTTGTGTGTGTAAGTGTGTGTACGTGTGTGTGTAAGTGTGTGTGTGTGTAAGTGTGTGTAAAGAGTGTGTGTAAGTGTGTGTAAAGTGTGTGTAAGTGTGTGCAAGTGTGTGCAAGTGTGTGCAAGTGTGTGCAAGTGTGTGCAAGTGTGTGCAAGTGTGTGCAAGTGTGTGCAAGTGTGTGCAAGTGTGTGCAAGTGTGTGCAAGTGTGTGCAAGTGTGTGCAAGTGTGTGCAAGTGTGTGCAAGTGTGTGCAAGTGTGTGCAAGTGTGTGCAAGTGTGTGTGTGTGTGTGCAAGTGTGTGCAAGTGTGGCAGTGTGTGCAAGTGTGTGCAAGTGTGTGCAAGTGTGTGTGTGCAGTGTGTGCAAGTGTGTGCAAGTGTGTGCAGTGTGTGCAAGTGTGTGTGCAAGTGTGTGCAAGTGTGTGCAGTGTGTGTGTGTGTGTGTGCAAGTGTGTGCAAGTGTGTGCAAGTGTGTGCAAGTGTGTGCAAGTGTGTGCAAGTGTGTGCAAGTGTGTGCAAGTGTGTGCAAGTGTGTGCAAGTGTGTGCAAGTGTGTGCAAGTGTGTGCAAGTGTGTGCAAGTGTGTGCAAGTGTGTGCAAGTGTGTGCAAGTGTGTGCAAGTGTGTGCGTGTGTGCGTGTGTGCGTCTGTGTGTGTGTGTGTGTGTGTGTGTGTGTGTGCGTGTGTGCGTGTGGGCGTGTGCGTGTGCGTGTGCGTGTGCGTGGCTTTGGGGGAGGTCTTCGGCTGAAGTATGGGGCTCGGCAAAAGTCAGGGCTGTCACTGCACCAAAAGTGAATACAAATTGTTGCTAAGCCGTGGTTCATGGAGGAGCTCCTGCAACTCATGCAGTAGGTCTAAACGTCTCGCAGCCATTTTTTTTCAAGCAGCTTCTCCTAGTAAACACACGTCTGGCTCGGGCAACGTCTGGCGACAGCCACCGGCGTTGTGGGTAAGCTCACAACAAGTCTTCGGGCAGCATGACGGCCAGCAACTGTACAGTACTAAATTGTTGCTTCGCTAAAGGATAGAAAGACTTCTCACAAACCCTCCGTGGCTCCTTCGCGGATTCCCGCAAAGAAGCACAAAGAGTCATACCATCCTGCCTAGATAGTGGGAGGTGACAACTTGAATTTGCTCTTCGTGGCTCTTTTTCGGATTCCCGCAAAGAAGCACGAAGAGTCGCACACATTGTGCCAAAATGGTGGGTACGAGCTGAACTATACATCGAGTCTGAGGTCTGGTGGGACGAGACATTGGCCCAAGTCATTCTTGCCAAAGCAAACCAGACTACCATGGGCAGTCACCGCGCATGTATGATGCGGACCTGTGGCCACAGCGACTACGGCGTCGAGGTCGGGGGGCACGTCGCACTGGCCGAAGTCGTTCCCTCCGAAGCAGACGAGTTTGCCAGAGGACTTCAGTGCACCTTGCCGAGCTTTCTGGGGGCAAATCCGTAACAAACCCTAAACACGAAACCCCAGATCCTGGACCCTACAACCCGACCCAAGAAGGGATGATATCTAATGGTTACATACTTGCTCAGCACGCAGGCACAGGTATGGGCGTAGCCTGCAGCAACTGCAATTACCGGGCCGAGGTCTTGCGGAACGGTGCATTGGCCGTGGCTATTGCTGCCGAAACATACCTCGGTTCTCCAGTAACCAAAAAAAGCAGAACACAGGTACACGTAATGGCCCTAATGAATCATACGGAATCCCCATCCAGTCAAATGGAAAAAGGGGTACTACTTTGCGTCCCAAATTCCAACTCGCCATCCGCTTTCACGGCACAAGTGTAGCTCAGCCCAGCGGCCACAGCTATCACAGGGCCCAGGTTGGGTGGTGGGTCGCACTGGCCGCGCTGGTTTCCGCCAAAGCAGACCAGCTGGCCATTTCCCGCCACTGCGCATGTGTGATGTTGTCCCGCAGCGACAGCTGCGACTGGACCAAGGCCCGGTGGCACGTTGCAACTCCCGGGTGACCCAAAGCAAACAAGTTCTCCACATGCCTTGACGGCGCAGGTGTGGTAGAATCCTGCAGTGACTGCCACGACTTGCCCCAGGTTTGCAGGCACGCTGCACTGTCCAGTGCTATTGTTTCCATAGCAGCAGAGCTCTCCAGATTCCATCAAGACACATGTGTGAGCAAGCCCTGCAGCGATGCAAGATACGGGCCTCACCAAGTTTAACGGCACGCTACCGTCCACAGCCGCGCCAAAACGAACGAGCTGCCTGTTGCGAGATATGGCGTAGGTCGATCTTGCTGTGGCAGCTACGGGGCTCTGGCACTCCGAGTGCCTCTGGCTTCTTACTCGCAGGAAGTGCAGCACATTCTGGGCTACGTTGTGGGGTAGCGCCTGGTCAGCTCGGCTCTTGTGCGCGCAGAGCCAAGACAGGTGGTGGAGGTCAAGGCCATGAATGCGCAGCCCTGGCCTACCGTCCTGATTGCGCAGGCGCACAATCGCCATCCCTAAACCCTAAACCCTAAATCCTAAACCCGAATCCGAAACCCTAAGCCCTACACCCTAAACCCTATACCCTAAATCCGAAACCCTAAACCCTAAACCCTAAGCCCAAGTCAGACTCTAGCTCGCCCCGTTGCTTGAGACGTTAAGACACGGAAGCGAAGTCTGTTCTGCACATCGGTGTGGTTTAGGGTTTGGGGTTTGGGGTTTAGGGTTTAGGGCTTAGGGCTTAGGGTTTAGGGTTTAGAGTTTAGGGTGTCGTCAGATGTTTACGGGCACTGTTCGCCTCGTCTGGGTCCCACAACCCGACACTGGCCGGAGAGCCCAAAACCCCAAACCCCAAACCCTAAACCCTGATGATTGCGGGGTCGTGCTCTCAGAGAGCACAATACCCCTTGTTGGAGAAGAGGCCTTAAATCATATGTAGGATCCCTAGAAAAAGGGCTCTTTGGATATTCCACGTCGCTAGTGCTCACATTTCATGTGACCTAACCCTGCATGACATACTCTCAGGTCGCTGTTGCAAATCACACTTGAAACCCTGGAACCCTAAACCCTAAACCCTAACCCTAAACCCTATGCCAAAGCGAACTCATAAGATTCTTGGGGCCCGCGCAGCACGATCGAAGGTCTCACCAAGTTCCATGAGCTGGTTCCAGGTCGGCTTCGCGCTGATCTCGGAATACGGGTTTGGGGATGAGGTTTAGGGTTTAGGGTTTAGGGTTTGGGGTTTAGGGTTCGGGGCTTAGGGTTCAAGGGCTCTACAGCCCAAAACAAACTGTGCAGATCCTGGGGACACATACTCAAGAATGTGGTACTTTCTTTTGGGGGTACACCGGGTACAGGGCCCATTTTGTAGCAACCCCAGAAAAAAGGACCCCTTTTTGGGGGAAGCATCCCAAACCCTAAGCCCCACACTCTGCGCTCTAAACCCTGAATTCTAACCATGATGCAAGCTACTTGTGATGAGAAGAGTAAGATTGTCATTGGTCTCATGGTGAGGGACCGACTATTTCATGCGCCTGTTCTTCTCATATTTGCAGTCTAGTTCCTTCTAGTTTACCCTAAACCCTAAACCCTAAACCCTAAACCCTAAACCCTAAACCCGGATTTAGAACTACATCGGCTCAATTCCTCCGATTGGGACATCAAGCTAGCTCTGCGGTGGGCGCGGTCGACCACCCTAAACTACACCCTAAACCCCGATGTAGCACCTCACCCCCCCCAAAAGCCCCCTAAAGCCCAAACCCTAAACCCAGTCAACTCCTAAGCGCAAATCCAATCCTACTTCTGCCATCCGGTGCTTGTGTGAAGGGCCATGATACCCAGCAGTAATGACTGCGAGGAAGTACTCAAGAGTGCAGGGTTAAAGATTTTGGGTTTAGGGGTTGAGAGCCTAAAGCCCTAACTACATAAGCCTTGACCTAGCCTTACGAGAACGCGTGGGGTGCCGGCCACCCCCTGCAGATTTGTCTCGAAGGCCTGAAAATCTCACTGGCTCTCTTAGTGCGGAATTGACAGAATAAGGTGCCTGAATCCCAAATTCCCAATCTGAGGCTCAGGTCTAAGCTTGTTGGGCTTAGGGTTTAGGGCTTAGGGCGCCAAACCCTAATTACATCAAGTATTTCGGCCCGTGGAGCACTCAAACGAGTCAAGAATCAAGAAGGCTTCTCTCGAGGAACTGGCCCCCCCCGACAACACCCGAACCTGATGCCTAAGGCTCTACCCAAGGGCTCCAATGTAGTTCCTTTTTGGGTTAGTTATAGGGAAGTCTAGTATACTACCTAAAAAGGTACTACGTAGGAGCATTTGGGTACCAACCTGCGATGTTGTGGGTCGCGCCTTGCTTTGTTTATGGCCATTGCAACTTAAAGCTTCTCATTCTTCTAGAAGGCAATAGAGGGATGTTTCCGAGTAATTCCCTAAACTCCCCACCCAAAAAGCAGTAAGCACGCCTAAAGTGGGTTACTGATGGAGTTTAGGGTTTGGGGTGGGAGGCCCCGTCCTTTCCCCACTCCCGTACAGCAATTACTGACTCTAGTAATTCCCCTAGCTATTCATGCAGGAAGCCCAATACCCTTCAATAAGGAAAAGACCTTAAATCACATGAAGGATCGTGACATTGTAGGTTAACACTCCTGAGTTAACATGCTTTTTGACTCTTTGGGTACAGCCCTTTATGCCCCAGAGCCGCTCCAAGCCTTATGACCGCCTGAAAGCCCTACCCAAAGAGCCCAATACCCCTTAAATAAGGAATATTCTTCCTTAAATCATTATCAGGATCCCTTTATAGTTTAAGGTATATTCCTTAATTAAGGTGTATTGGGCTCTCTGGGTACAAGGGAAATCAGGTTGACAAATAGCAGAAGAGAAGACTCGTACTGCACAAGAGGAAGCAAGCATACAAACCAACACCGATGTAGATCGCGGGCCTTAGCCCCAAGCCCTAAACTCCCTGAACCCTTTTCAGCCCCAGTTAACTACTAGTTGCTTAAGAGACCCCCCCCAACCAAAAAAAAAAAAAAAAATATATATATATATACAATTATACATACATACATATACATATATATTTGCATAAAATCTTCCGTATAAGGGCAATACAGGGGCTGCTATCGTTGATGTTATGGCTGGTTCTCAAGCAACTAGTAGTAGATGGTACTAAAGATCCATCCATAACTTAAGGTATCTTCTTTCAGTAAGGGGCATGGGGCCCTCCGTGTCCCGGCGTGCGTAAAGTAGTGAACATAGGGGATCCGGAGTAAGGGCCCTTAATTTGAGTCCCCTTTGATAGAACCCTTTTGTAGACTATACATTCTGAGGGCTCATACTTCGGATCCCTTTAAAACCCTGTGAACAAGGGCAAGGGACCATGCTAAGGGCCTATGGCTGCAACCTTCGGGAAAAATTAAGCTTCAACCTTACTTGGAGGCTCATGGGTACTGAAACCACAGTTATAAGTCTACTCGTAACCTATCTTAGGGGACTTAGGGGGGCTTTATGAGTACAGTTTTTAATTGGGGTTAGAAGTACCCTGAACCGAGTAGACTACCTCTAAACAAAGGCTGCCCAAGCGACGGATGTCGTGCTGTCGATGAGGTCCAGAGCTGTGATGAAGTCACGACCCTGGTGGCGTGGCCCCGTTTATCGGGGTCTATTGGGGTTGAGTTTAGGGTTTAGGGTTTAGGGTTTAGGGTTTAGGGTTTAGGGTTTAGGGTTTAGGGTTCAGGGTTCAGGGTTCAGGGTTTATAAAGGGTTTAGGGTTTAGGGTTTAGGGTTTAGGGGTGCACAGGGTCTAGAGATTCTAGAGATTTGGGGGTGAGAGACTTGGGGGTGTAGGGTTTAGGATAGTCGGTTTCAGGGAGTTTTTGTGGGATTTAGACTCCAAGTGGCATACTGCAGGGTGGCATACTGCAGGGCTCAGGTGCTACAATATACAACTTGAATTGCTGACCATGGCTTTGTGGTGAATCTTCCAGTCATCCCATACGAAAAAATGTGCTATTTACCCTGCTCCGGGGGGTGGACATACCGGCACACCAAACAAACCATAACCCTATCCTAGTTGCTGAGTACCCTGGGCCAAAAAAGGCTAACCTCTCAGTTGTGGTATGATGACAAATAAATAGAGAAAGAGATATATATATATATATATATACCGAAGGGTTAAAGGTTACCTACTCAGCTACTAAGCCTACTAGGCCACATTCATGGTCTTCCCCCCGCCGCACCCACCCGAAACAAGGCTCAAATTCATGAGTGCTAGTTGGGGTAGTTAGTTGGGGTGGTGGGGGCGAGGCTCCCATGACTTTCAACCTCACAAACCCAAAAGTTGCCTGCAAGAGCATCTGGATGGATGGTCGGCATTGCCTGCGCCGAACTGCGGCTTTGCACCCGAGCGCCCCTTCGTTCTTACAGGTACGAAAGGAGAGCGCAGAAACCCTAACCCTGAACCCTCAACCCTCCTCGGAGACCTCACCCAAAGACTCCATGCAAATCCTAGGCACAGTCCCCGAATTCTCCTCTTTCCAACCCAGGAGCTATGTCAACGTGCAAGCATGATGTGGGAAATATAAATCCCGGGTTTCACTACTACCCCCCCCCCCCCCTCCATACTACGTACACCCCCCCCCCTCCAGGTTCGCCGAAATATCCATAACTAATTAGGCTTAACTATTCGTAGGTAGTTTGAACTCTTGAGGGAACCTAGGGCGAAGGGGCGGGTAGTATGGGGGGGGTGGGAGGGGAACCCATGAGTTTAGGGTTCAGGGTCGTACTGCCAAAGCAAGCAGAGCCCAAATCCTAAACCCTAAATGCCCTAAATACCCTAATACCCTAAACACCCTAAATACCCTAAATACGCTTTATTCCCTAAATACCCTGAATACCCTAAACCCTAAACCCAAACCCTTAACCCTAGCCTGACATGCTCCAGGCAGTCCAGGCGCTGCAACACATCCTGCACGCGCCGCCTCGAGTTTGCACCATTGGGATCCAGAGTTCTTCTGCTAGGGGTTTAGGGTTTAGCGTTTAGGGTTTAGGGCTTAGGGTTTAGGCCCTAGGGTTCAGGGTTTGGGGTTTGGGGTTTAGGGTTGATGGTTAGGCTTAGGGCTAGGGGCTTACGGACAGGGAACCTGCAGTTTACAGCCGTGCTTTCAGATGCAGCTGGCACAGCACACTCTGACGGAAGACATCACATTCTTTCTGGATGGGCCGCCTCTTGCTGCAAGCGTCATGTGAATTTGGGTTTAGGGTTTAGGGTTTAGGGTTTAGGGTTTAGGGTTTAGGGTTTAGGGTTTAGGGTTTAGGGTTTAGGGTTTAGGGTTTAGGGTTTAGGGTTTAGGGTTTAGGGTTTAGGGCCTAGGGATTCGGGTTTAGGGTTTAGGGAAACCCTGTAAAACCCGAAGAGCTCCCCTAAACCATAAACTAAATCCTCAGACCCTACTGGCCCTACAAGCCCAAAGCCCTCCACCCCAAACGCGAAAACCCGAAAGCCCTAACAC